CCAGCTCCATGCTCCCTCGTCACCAGGGAGCATGGAGCTGGCTTCTCTTTGAGAAGCTGGCCAATCAGAAAGCGCAGTGGCGATTCATTACCCGCTCCTGGCTTCCTGATCGGCCAGAAAGCCGGCTCCATGCTTCCTCATCAACTGGTGATCACGGAGCATGGAGACGGCTTCCCGGCTAATCAGGAAGCTAGACAGCGAGTCATTACACAACGCCCGGCTTCCTTAATGGGACTTCCAGTATAGGTATTCAGTATTGGCGAGTACAGGGGGAAAAAAATATCGGTACTCGTACTTGATACGAAAAAAACAGTATCTGTGCATCCCTACTGTTACTTTAAGAAACTAAGCAATAGGGATATCTTTAGGGCTGAATTTGCTATTAGGCACAGTAGGCTTGTGCCATGGGCTTGATTTCCATCATTGGACCCTGTAGGCACACAAATTTTGGAGCCCAAAAGGACTAGCTACCTAGGATCATGTTTTTTAAACTGAGCATAATATTGTGACTTATAAAGACTTTTATATTGGATGACTGTATTTGCACTAATCATAGAGGAGACATGTGTTGGCAATGACAGTACAGGAAAAGCTGTCTATGCCTCTTCAGTTTATAGGCTTATGCCTATAGGGTACAGAGGCAAAGAGACAGCTTTTCTTGCACAATCATTGACAACACATGTTCTTCTCTACCTCGGTTACAAAATCCCATAGTCATTAGTCATCCCATATAAATGTCCTGTACGTAGTGGTATATCAAGTCCTGACCGAAGCAAAAAAAACAGCTTTCCCTTAGCTATCTGCCACACATTTTTTTCCCCATCATCATCATCATTATTATTATTATACAGGATTTATATAGCACCAACAGTTTGCACAGCTCTTTATTAGAAATACAACCATCTCATTTACACAGCCAGGTTAGAAGCAGTAAATTAAGTTGCTTTGAGTGACAAAGACTGCATATGGTACTGGTTCCAGTAGTGGAAATACAGTTCTGGGTCCCTATATTCAGTCATGAAGCTCTGTGAGGTCCATACCTGCAGATGTCTCGCAACATTGATGACTGTTAATGTTCACCCATTTGTGTAGTCTACATTATATTATAGAGGACCTGCCAGCCTCCACTCCAGTGGACAGCAGAATGCTGAAAGCTTAGCTATCAAAGCCAAAAGATGTTTGCAGACTTGTGGACCTTTACATCCATGTAAAAGCACTTTGAGTAGAAAGGGGGCAGAAGCTGCAGCTATCTCTGGCCCATGGGCTCAGGAGAACCTAAGCATAAGATCTCCCCCTCTTATGCCAGTGCTGTGTTGACATTACATTATCCTGTATGGAATTAAGCAACAATTACATCTTTTTTTCCCATTCTGTTACTGATTAAGTCTATAGAAGGTTTAATAAAAAGAAGGAAATATGCCCAGGGTCAAATTTCCCATTAGGCACAGTAGGCTTGTGCCTATTGACTGCAGAAGCAAAGAAGCAGCATTTCACTGCATTCTTATTAGCCACACATTTTTTCTCATCATCAGAAGGAATAGTAGTCTTCTCAAAAAGGTTTTTTTATACACATTCACAACAATACTCTAAACCATGACCAGGAAAACAAGTAAATGTTTTGTGTAGAAGAGGTGATCCCTGCAGAGGTGTGTTACATAGACACCAAAAGCTATGTGGCTCTGTGCTCTAGTTATGGAAGTCCCGCTCTAAATATATCGTATATAAGGACTGTATTACCACATTGGCCTGATAATAACTGAATATGCAGTTAAGTTCTGGTCATCAATCCTCAGGAAGGATGTCCTTGAAGTAGAGTTCAGCAAGGGCAACAAAATGAATCATGTGGTTGGAGGACCTCAGATATGAGAAACGATTACAAAGATTGCATTTATTCATTCTGGTGAAAAGGAGCTTGAGAGGATTTAATCACAATGTATACATTTATCAAACGTGATTATAGTACTGTAATGAACTGTTTACTCCAAGGTTCCCTGAAGAAGACACATGGCCACAATTTGTGTTTGGATAATCTTAGATTGTGGGTTCTTTATTGTTCGAGCAGTGCAAATGTGGATCTCCCTTCACCAGGTATTAGCTCAGTGTGAATAAATTCAAAACACTTTTAGATGATTTCCCAGGGGAGCATAAAATACAGAGCTATAGGAATTTTTAGAGACTTACATTTGCACACATATGTAGAACAGGATGGACCTGTGTCTTTTTTTCAAACTTATCAATTATGTAACTATGTAATGGGTCTGCTGAACAATATTGAGGCCCACATGTTTGGATTTACAAAAATAATCATTTGCTTCATTGTTGAGAAGCCTTGATTTGAGAGTAGAGTAAATCAGGAGGAAAAGACGATGATACAGAAGGTATAGAGATACAATGGTGTACTAACTGTTTTCATTGCAATATTATTTAGGTTCCCAAACCTTATATAATTAATTTCATCCAAATATATGTGTCAAATGTTATTGTTACCTGCATACATCACTGTTTAGTCTGACAGTTTATGACTTCCTGTGCTTCTGGTCCCCATAGAAGTGGCATGATCTGCTATAGGTATAGTTTAATTCTTTTATAAATACGTACTGTATCTACTCTTATGGTAAAGCCATCCATTAGTATTTAAATGCCATTCAGATTTGGTACATAACTCAGTTCATAGCACGTCTACCATGGCATAAGCCAGATTGCTGTTTTACATTACCAAGGCCAAAAACCGCTCAAGAGGCTGTATAAAACAGATATATTGATAATAAATCACTACTGGACCAATGCCTAGTGCAGTAGAGTAAAATGGAATGTCATAAAGCTTAGTAATCACATATTAGATTCCTTTATTCCCCTTTTGTCAAGCTCTTACTGGACTGCTGTGCACAGAAAAAATAAATAAAAGCACAGGGGACTGTCGAGTCACAAGACTCTTGGTAGCTCAGCTAACATTCATTCACCACCTCATCTGGCTTGTAATTGGTGGAATGTTTTGTCTACATGTATCTCTGTACGAAAGCAGAAAACACCTACTTTGTTGCTCCCTCACTGGCCACACCAGTAGATTGTGCAGAGTTCTGGCCAGTGAGGAAGCAGATAAGTTTAGAGATTCTGTTGGTGGAATTGTTGGCAGCAACAGGGTAGCTGGTCTGTCATGGGCCTTTGGTTTCCATTATGGGAAGAGTCTGAAGCTAAAAGTTAGTTTCATATGTTCTAAAGGTCTCTTTAATTTTCTCCTTTAAGATCCCGACTGACAAGCTTGAGCAGCTGCCATGGATGACTTTGAACGTCGCAGAGAGCTCAGGAGACAGAAGCGCGAGGAGATGCGCGCAGAAGTTGAAAGGTAATGTGGTTTGGTGTTCGGTTGCCGTGGCTCACCATGTCAGAATTATACTTTGAATGTTTGAATTGGAGGTTTCTCATGTCGGCCAGGCAGACACACTTGGCAAGCGCACTTTCCACCCTGGGAACTCACCGGCCATGTTGTACATCCAAAAATGGTAATAAATAAAGACAGGCCGGGCCTGCTGGAAGTGGGTCCAAATACGGTACGTCAGGAATGTGTTCTGAGCGAAGCCACTATTTATAAACGCTATTGGAGGTGACATCATTATTCTCTGATGGCTCCTTTTATTTCAAGAATAAATATTACAGATATCAAGTATGACAGCAAATCATTTCATAAAGAACTACTCCGACCAATACTTTCTGTTAATATACCATAGCGTCAATGCAATTTCAGGACATAAAAACTCTCCCTGTGGACAAGAAATAAACAATTTTTGTGGGCCCCATGCTTCTAACAGCCAGGCACATGTAGAAGAATACAAAGCCTAACTCCAGTCAAATATTTTTGTTTTTAGTTATAACGACCCATTTCTGCCCCTTATGGCATGGTTGCAAGAGATGGGGGTGCTGTTATTTTTGTTTTTCCCCTGTGTCCCTGTTGACAAGATTTCTCATCACTTCCTGTCCTGTCTTGCCATAGTTCCCAGCTCCATTCCAGCCCTATCTTGGAGTTTTGCGTGTTCCCATCCACCAAGGGATGTCCACAATCCCTTTTTTGCATTCTCTATGACAGAAAAAAGACTATAGTTGAATACATTCCAGATGCATTAAAAAGGTGTTCAATGTCTTACAGTTAATTTAGTTTCTACAGCAGCCACAGCTGGAGTAGAAAAGTATGTTCCTTGCCAACATCTACAGAGTGAGACCCTTGCTCTCTGCGTGGAAGCAGTAATCTCTCTTCAGAGGTCTGGCACACCCCCTGCTAGATTAGACCTATAGCTCTGCAATCAGCAAAGCTCTTGCTTTTTGCTGATTGGAGAGTTCTGGCTCTGGCTCAGCAGAGAGTGTGGCAGATCTCTGCAGAGAGATTACTGCTTCCACATAGAGAGCAAAGGTCCCACTCTACAGCTGCTGGCAGGGAACATGCTTTTTTACTCAGGCGGTGGCTGCTTTAGAAAAAATACAAACTGTAAAGGTGCCCATACACTGCACGATTCTCGTACGAGAATCACGGAAAATCCCGCGATCGTACGAGAATCGTGCAGTGTATGGAAGGCGTGCAACCGTTTCTACTGTACGGTCGCACGTCTTCCATCGAACAAGCAGGCTGGAAAACCCGCGGGGAATCATAGATTCTCGGCGAGTTAGTGGCCTGCTTGTTCGACAACTGCCGAATGGGCCGGTGTGCGCACGCGCATACTGCCCGTTTGCCGTCATCCCAAGCCCGCCCCTCATTGCAGTCATCACAAGCCCGCCCCTCAGGCGTCCAAGATTGGCAGATCGTACGTTTTTTAAAGTACTTTACAACCCTTGCAAGACAAAAGTCTTGCAAGGGTTGTAAAGTGTATGGGCACCTTAAAGTGACATTAAACCCTCAGATTTCTTAACATAAAACAATACTGTAATGTGTGCCTTACTGTAATCCATGGTTGTTTCCCTTCTCTTTGCTGCTCTTCCTTTTAAATCTGTATCTGTTCTCATGCTGGGCAGAACTTCTGTTTTGCAGCAGACTGCCTTGTCTCTGGAATGGCTACATGGTGTCTGTGTGTAGGTTTGTATAGGTTTTGTAACCTGAGCCAGCACTACAGGAAGAGGCCCTGAGCTGCAAAGGGAAGTTCTCCCCAAGCATGAGAAGATATGAGGATTTAAAAGGAAGAGCAGCAAAGAGAAGGGAAACAACCATGGATTACAGTAAGGCACACATTACAGTATTGGTTTATGTTAAAAAATCTGAGGGTTTAATGTCACTTTAAGACATTGAACACCCTTTGTTTTTGCACACCTGGAATGTATTTGGCTGATTTAAACTGAAGGCTCAATTAGGCTTTACAAAATCCAATAAGTAGTCTTTTCTCCATAGTTCTCCTTAGGGTAACGGGAGGACACAAACTAGCGTCCTCCCGTCACCCTGGGCTCAGTATACCACGAGCAGTAGCTCACGGTATACTGAGACGCCGCAG